CCCTCTAGTGTGGGAGAGCCCAGCACCTCTCCAGGCAGCCGGTTCCACTGCCATATTGCTCTGGCAGTGAGGAATTTCCTGATGTCCAGCCTGAATCTGGCTTGCCATAACCTGAACTGATGATTCCCTGTCCTACACTCTGGCATGAGCAAGAAGAGATCTTGACCTTCCTCTCTGTGACAGTCTTTGAGGGACTTCTAGAGGGATACCATGTCCCCCCTCAGTCTTCTCTTCTCAAGGCTGAACAAGCCCAGTTCTCTTTGTCTGTCCTCACAAGTCATGGGTTCCAAACCCTCAATTGTTTTTGTGTGGGTCCCTCCTCTGGACCCTTTCTAGTTTTTCTGCTACTCTGATCTACTCTGATCCCATTCTGACTCAGCTCCTTTCCTCTAACCCTGCCCCTTGTAATGGTAGACCCTAAAGGGGTCATCGGATGTAGCTGATGGGTAGGAGATTCAGGACAGATCAAAGGAAGCATTTCTTCTCAAAGCACATTGTTGAACTATGGAATTCATGATCACCAGATGTAGTGATGGTCACCAATTTGGAGGGTTTCAAAAGGGACTGGGTGAGTTCTTGAACAGAAGGCTATTAGTGATCCTAGTCCTCATGGCTAGTCCTCGGGCTTGTGGCTTTCTCACAGCCAGCTGGTAGCCCCGATGGGACCAGATGTTGGACTAGACAGACATTCGGTCCGATGCAGCATGACTCTGCTTCCGTGCTTATGACCCTCTCTGCCTGTCATAACTTGTTTCCCTTGCACGCGGGACCCTGGGCAAATGCTTCCCCCAGCAATTAAAGCCAGATAAGACCAGCAAGCAGGGCCAGTGCCAGCCCTGGACCGCTGGCGAAACATCTTTGATCTCACTCTAGTGTCGATGCTGCCGGCTGCTGGCACAGCAGATGTTTCTGGCTGCCCTCCAACTAACAGCTGCACTTGCTCCCTGTGGGGATCGAGTGGTCCTCTGGTGCTCATCAGTGCCACGAGGCCGGCCTGTTCAATTTCCCCCTCCATAGAGTGCCAAAGAGCAACTGCTGTGCTGGAAAAAAGGGTGCTCTGAAGTGATACATTACACTTGGGGCTTAATTTGGCAGTACAGTTCAGCCCTATGGCTTCTGCACTGTGTTTCAAGCCTGGAAGCTGAGAGTAAAAGGGCACCCTTTCTGGACAGGTGGAAGGATAATTCCCTGCTAACTTTATTTATTGCAGCTTGTTTTCACATTGATCTAGAATTAGAAGAGAACGTTTCCCAATCAGACAGGTTGGCTACTAGAAAGCACTGCGCTTCAGAGCTTCTCTTATGGAAAGAACATTCTTCACTTATGGAAACAATATTCTCGTCTCTAAACTTCAGAGGATGGACAAAGGCAAATACAAACAAATTCTACACCCATTATGGGGCTTCCATGAAGAACGGTATTGGTAACTGAACAGCATTAAAGGGTACTGAAGTGCATTAATATACTATTCCATAAGCTATCAGCTGATGCAAAACTGTCAGTGCTACATCTCTGTAGTCTGAAAATCCCAAAGTTGGATGAATCCACATGAGGAAGTGAAGTTTAAAATAAAAAGGGGAGTGACCCCCTTTGGAAATAATTTACTGGCAGAGTCCAGTGTTACATATTTCTTCATTCTGCTCTTTTCACAGGAGACTACATTGCACAATGTCTGCCACAGCAGTATAAAATGAAAAACAACAGCAGCAACACACATGCATCCTTAGATTTTTTAGACGCTTTCTTTCTGCCTCGCCTTATGAGTGGAATAACCCTTCTAATCTTTTGAAAACCTTTGCAAAGTATTGCTAAATCCAACCTGCAGCCAATCCAGCTGACTACTGGGGGAGAAGAAAAGCAGCCTGAAGGCGAATTATTTAATCACATGCTTCCATAAGCCCACAATCCTCAAGAGTTCATTGTTTACTAGAAGTGTCTAATAAAAAACAGAAGGATGCAGGTTCGAGGATGATTCCCATGGTCAGAACCACCTCCACACAATGACTTCCAAGTATCTCCGAGGACACTGAGAGATGGGGACATGCAGGCAGTACTGGCAATATCACAGCGGTTCCTACCAATGGCATGGCTCGGAGAAGTGCCAGCACAGGTGGAAATCACAGGTGGGTCGCCATAATTGGGCTCAGTCATAGGTTGTGTCCTCCTTGTTACTACCTGCATACACCACTGAGCATCACGTATTGGTGACTTTGACCACGTGAACCAACTGCCTTGGATCGCTATCAATGATTGCTATCATTGGAAGAATCTATGCATGACTTAAACACTCCACATTCTAGACTGCAATGAAGCTACTCTCCAAAGGAAGACCTTGTTTACTTATTCACTCCCAGAAATTAATAAACATCCTCTAAGACTGCTTTGCACTTCTCCTGTATCTTGCCAAGATTTCTCAACTGTCCCCTTCATAATCTCATGTTATAAAGTGCTCGTTGCAGGCTGACTTTGAAGGCTGGGACGTGGTGCTGGTGCAGAATGCTTCGGCCCTTCCCTTTGGGCAGTTGGAGGCAAGGGAAGTCATACTCAAACCCATTTGCACCGACTGTGCTGGTTGCTCATGACTTTCTGTTGCCCAGTTCCAGATACCAGTTCTTAATGAGTAAAGCCGTCCACAGCTGGAGCTAAACTCCTTCCACAAATGCCCCTCCCTGAGCTCATTCACCTATGAGGCCATTCAGGGCTATTCCTGGTTCATTTCATGGGGGAACGAAGCTTGAGATCTGCACAGAGGATCATTTTCAGGGAGTTTCTGAGGAACCATAGAATTGTGCAGTTGGGAGAGGCCTAGGAGCCATCAGGTCCACCCCCTGCTCCATGCAGGACTCAAGTCTCCCATCCAGATTCTAACCAGCCTTGAACCCACTTAGCTTCCAAGATCAGGCACTTCAGATTGCTTGTGTTCCTTTTATTTTGTTTTCAGGGACTCAGGCTAAAATTGCACACTGAAGAGAGACATACTTTCCTTTCCTCTAAGTCTTTGGGACCCAAACAATCTGAGGAGGCTGCAGGTTGGAGCACAGAAAGATCATGCAGGGGACGGACGTTTAACCTGTTCCTTCTCTTTAGCTCAGAATCATCCTCTGGAAGATCCCCTGGCAAGATGCACCGTCTCTAGAACATCTCAGTACCATTTCCCTGAGAGGCAGAGATGGTGCAGGGGTTGGGGGACTGAGTATAAGCCTCTCCCTATTCCAAAGGGAGAAATGCATCTCCACAAGAGACAAAAGAACACGTGGCTTTGCGTGAAAACTGCCTGTATTATTTCAGAGATACAGGTGCACATTCAGAAGAATCGCTATCATTGAAATAGAAATGCAGGACACCAGAGCACATGAAATGGTGCGAGCTGCTTATTCTGAAGATCTTGCTCCATCTGCCACCCAGGTGCTAACTCCAAGTTTCCGCTCTGTCCTCTTAGGGTACTTTATCTTTAAACTGGACTTGGACGGGATATCCCTCCACATAGAGAAGGCCTTTAAACAGTCCATCTTGTAGAGGACTGTACTGTGTAACAGAAGAGACCCGGCCACCCTATCGGGCAAAGTGTCCTCTCTCTTCTGCCACTGAGTCCCAATGTCGAGTTGCAACTGGCATTTCCTGTGTCACCGTGGCTTAAGCATAAATGAAGACCAGCATTTCTGGCCCTTGTTGTATGATATTTGAGCACAACCGGAGTTTAGCTCAATCTAGAACTTCCAAAATTCGACCAGTGAACAGAGCCCATGTGACGGAACTCCACTGACTTGCCCCATCTGGGAATCACTTCTCTGGGCTAATTTCCAGGATTGTGCTAGGAAGTGCTCACTTCTTGTACTGTTAGCACACGAAGAGGTGACCTTTTGCAGGCGTGGTCATATTTGGCAATTTGAGAAACTTTCCTGGGCACTACCACAAAATGGCTACCATAGGAGGTGTGGCAAAGGGCAAATTCCTACCCAGAAGACAGTCCAAAGCAGCATTTCCAACCCGAGCCCCAGTACACTAACACAACTCCTTTGGACTCAAAGTTTTTTGGACAACTTATTTCACAGCAATCCCATCTTCTGCTATGATGATGATGATGATGATGATGATGATGATGATGATGTGATAAACAGTGTTCGAAGGAGCATGGCAGTCCATGGGCATGATCCTGCTTACCTCCTGTTTCTACTTGCACGGTCTGCTTAGTGCTATCACATGGTCTGCACTGGGTATTAACCAGTGATCTGAGCCAGTGCGTCATAGCTACCCAACCTCAAAATTCCCCACAATTCCACAGTCAAGGGCATTGTGGGAAATTAAAAAAAGTGCCTAGATACTGCTGCCTGATGCTGCTCAGAATGTCTGACCAGAAGAAAAGGGAGGGCACTTTGATGAACAGCAGCAACTTTGCCAGCTGCCAAAAGACGCCAGGGGTTTCTGCCGTCCTGCCCCCATCCCTGTTTCTATTTTATATTCTGATGCAGCTGGCCCTCAAGACATAGAGAATGCGGCATCTGTTCAGAAAGGGCTCCAGACAGAGAGGGGAAGAATGGACGCTGATTTCTGGCTGCCACTGCCCTTGCAACTTAAGCCCTGCTGGGTTTATGATTGCTTTCTTGTGTTGTTTATGCATCCTATGCATATTTTTTAAAAATGGAAGCCATCTTCAGGAATTCTAAGGAAGGCAGATGAGAATTCCTAAACTATAGAGGACTAACATGCCATCAGTGCAGAATGAAATAGTAGTCAAGCTTGCAGGATACAAAACAATTCTTGAAAAGTTCTATGTCATGATACCTATCTATTTACATCTAAAGAAACCCTCTTTGGTTTCATTCTACAACAGCAATGTCGCTCAAATGGTTCATTTTCTTCCCATCTGGATCATATGGCCCTTTCTAATTTTCCTGTCATGCAGGTTGGCTTTTAAGTGTACACAAGTGGAAAGTTTCAATCCTCTGACAGGGATATTAAATTTCAATCTCCAGAAGGTTAGTTCATTTCATTTTACATACCCCTTTTGCATCAATCACACCGGGCTTTGAGTTGAACTTCACTGTCTTTAAACGAGCTCTCTCTTTTCTTTCAACCCTGGAGAGAGAGAGATTGGGAGAGGAAGTTTGGAAAAGCATGTGTGCCCATTGATTTATTACAATTTATTACGCATTCTGCCTTGAGAACAGAAGACTGAGGGGAGATGCAATAGGACTCTTCTCGTGTTTCTCCATTGCTCTGTCCTCTCACTCTGACACCACACAATGGGATCAATGATAAATTCACACCCACCTGTCTGAGTTTGTTCCCCAGAATTTCCCAGTGAACTTAATGCTGTCTGGTTCTCAGGTTCTCTGAGTCCATTGACCTTGGCATTTCCACAGTGAATTTCAATCCTTCTCCCTCCCCACTTCTGAATCAGAATCTGAGTCACCAACCTTGGAAGGCTGTAGCATCGAAGGAGAGGTCGAAGTCCCTACACACTTTATTTATGCTATGTATTTTCTTCCTTCCTTCCTTCCAGAAACTCAAGGTGGTTTACATAACTCTCCTCCTCTTCTCAATCTTCTCCTCACAACAACCACCCTGTGAGGTAGACTGGGCTGAGAGTCTGTGCCTGGCCCAAAGTCACCCAGGGAGGCCCATGGCCGAGCGGGGACTCGAACCCGGATCCCCTGAGCCCCAGCCCGGTGCTCTAAACCACTGTGCCACACTGGCTCTCATGATTAGCTTAAAGGCGGAAGCACAAATCCGCTTCATGCTGGCACTAGCGGAGGCGTAAAAGGCCTGGAGGGTCTCTCAACAAAAGTGATGGAAATAAAACAACAACGAAGCAAGAAAATCAGACCAGAAATCAGACATACTTTGCTGCACAAGTCGTGAGAACTTTGCCTGAGAACTGTGCCAGTATCCTCACAGAGGAGCTTTCCCAAGTTTTGTGTCATCGCCATCCACACAAACCTTTCTAACAAATCCTCTTCCATTCCTGTTGCTGTGCATCGTTCTATCTCCACGTTTATTTTTAGAATGCCTTGTGCTTGTCTACTGCAGGCTCCACTGTTTTTAACTGATCTCTCTTTTTTAACCCAGGGATTGAAATGTAACATTTTATGATGATTTTTTAAAAATAATCGATACGGATTTTATCAGTGTTTTTCTTGCATATTCCCCTAAGAGTTATTAGTTATGGTGGGGACTAACACATGTTAGAATAAATAAATAGTTCTACTAGTCTTTCTGGAGAGCTCTGATGTTAGAACCCTAAGCTATGCAAACCTTGGCTGGTGTGAGAGCAGGTTCCATTCTCACATTTCTTTCTTCCCTGAACTGTTTCCCTGCTGGAAGTCCATTGGATGCAAACTACCTACGCCAGCTACATGGTCCTCCTTTGTTTCTAGGCACTGTGCTTGGAGAGTCAGGGTTTGGATCATGTGAATTCGAGGCTTTTCTGAGACTGCCAGGGAACACCCAATATTTCCTAATATTTTCCCCTCCCGATGTCAGAGAGGTAAGGGCTGTGGAGCTTTCCGCCATGGGGTCCTGAAGTTTGATTTCACAGTACTTTGTCAGAACTCTCTCCCTGCCTTTGGATGGGGAGTTCCAATCTATCCAGTGACCCCTGGAATGCCTCCTACGGACCACAGAACTGCACCTTCAATAAATGCATAACTGTATATAAAATTAAATAAATAAACAGCCAAAGCAGGAAAGCTGGAAACAATGATTTCAGGAGAGACTCAAGAGCTGATAGCTCCTTTCCAAGGTTGCATAAGGTGTTATTATTACTATTTATTATCATTTTGTCCATGGGAGCCACTGCAAAAGCACCAGGGGCCAGTCACTGGGGAACAAAATAACTGGGAAAACATTCTTTCCAAGAAGAAAGAAAATAAAGGCTTCCTATTTTTTTTTTTTGATGTTGCTCATTTTTAACATTGCCAGCTGCAGCCTGCCAACCTCAGTTACTATAGTTACAGCTGAACTTTGGAATAAATGATTTTTACCCCCCCCAAGCCCCCCCCCCCCCAACCCTGGAAAAGCACTAGGTGCATATGGAAATGGCTGGAATGCAGCTTTTACATTCCATGCGTGTTCTTTGACCCGCAGGAAAAAGTCTTAATTTTAAACTTGAAGATGTAACTTTATATTAGAAAGGAAAGGGTGAAGGAAAAGAGAGGGAATCAAGCCTCGGGGCGGTGTAATCTCTTAAATGGAAATGCAGCGCCTATTTAGAGAGAGAAAGAAAATCAGCTCCCAGCTAAATGCAGTTTTTACATTATTATTACAGCAATATTAATTTGTATTTTCTCTCTCTACTCCTCCCTGGAATATGCATCATGTTACTTATTCACTCACTCACTACATGCAAGGAAAACCAGTTGGTGTCTCAAAATGGTGACCCAGCCATTTTCAGGGTGGCGGTGCCCGTGGCAGCTGATGGTCCATGGTGTGGACAGAGGGATGGGCAAGACACACCTTTGCTCCGGTTCCGTGCCGCTCTCCTTCAGTGATTGGCAAACCGCCCAAGCTGACTTCACGCTGGCCTTGGAGAGGAGCAAAATCACCCATGTTACCTTGGACAAGAGTTCTTCATTAAGAGGAACACTCGTGTTGCGCATGTGGGCTCTGTGCACGTGGGATCCCACAGTGCATCTTGGGAGCTGTAATTTGGAAATCTGCATTGTGACATGATGACATGCACAATACACGCCCCCTTTCTGATTGGTGGTTTTTGGCAGTATGGTAATGGAACCCGTGCCTAGGGAGTTGGTGGGCTCTCCCACACTGGAGACATTCAAGGAGAAACTGGGCAGCCGTCTGAGTGGGATGGTGTGACTTGGTGTCCTGCAGCAGCAGGGGACTGGACTAGATGGCCTTCATGGCCCCTTCCAGCTCTCCTATTCTGTGATTCTAAGAGGCAGCTGGACAGCCATCTGAGAGGGATGGTTTAACTGGGAACTCTGCATGGAACAGGGAGTTGGACCCCATGGCCTTATGGGCCCCTTCCAACTCGATTCTTCCATGATAAGATGAGTCCCCCACGCCTAGGATTCTGCAACAGCAAAAAGGCTGTAATATTAAGAGCAGTGGGTGCAAATCTAAGTATGTGGGGAGGGGGAAGCCATCCCTAAAGGAATTTCATGGTGCAGTTAATTTGTTCATGCCAGGCTGGCGAAGGCTTTGCTCATCCTGTGCTGGAAGCACAAAGCATTTGTCCACCATATAAGTCACCCATTCCGTACTTGCTCACCAAACAGGTGGCCAGTGGAGGGCAGGGCCAGCAGGCACATGACCGTGGTGGATCAGGTCCACCACCCCACGAGCCTGTCAGATATTTTCTGTGTTGCTTTGTGGAGTTCTAGCAGGGGTGGGCCGCACAGAGCCTCTGGACCTCAAGCTGTTGGGTTGCCCCCCCAGCATGGCCATCTGTGACAACGCTGTCCAAATCTGGTGGTGTTGCAGCAAAAAATGGGTCATTTGCTAGTAACAACCTCACTTTGTTCCTTTCCAGACTTGGATGTTTGGTTTGCTGGCCAATTTTGGTAGCAAGCCACAATTTGCAAAAATTGCCACTCCACCAGACTGTGGTGGACCCCTCTCAAGAACACGGGCACTAGGAGATGCCCAAAATAGAAAGGTTCCCCTGGCACAGGGCTTCCAGATATATCAAGTTTTAAAAGCTTTTCTATTTTCTCCCAGTTCTATTTAAATGTCAGAAGTGTACAGAGGGAAATGTCCTTCATAAATAATTTTCAAGGGCAAGAAAGCAGCCATCTTGCCCATTGCAAACCCCCTCTGGACACAAAAGTCATGTTACATCTTGTTATTCTGCCTGGGTTGTCAGTAGGACATGTTTATCCACTCGACTGGGTTTTTCTTTTAGATGGGAGCACACTAAGCAAGATAACTTTTTCAATATCCCTCAAGATTGTAATCCTTGGCTTTTAATGTAAGAACAGGTTTGTTAGCTTTATCTGAAGTGAGGGCTTTAAGCATGTTTCTAACTCAAAGGGAAAAAATAAAGATACGGCACGAATTGATATGCACAAATGAGAACCCTTATTGAATTATTCCCCCCACTCTTGGAAAAAGCAGGGACATCAGAATAATAATAGAAGAAGAGGACACTTTCAGCCCCTCTCCAAATGTGACTGTGCTTTTTATTGCAAGATTTGCTTTAGTCAAAGTCAAACTTGGAGTTATTATTTTAAAATTGAAATTTTATTTGCAATTCCCCAGAGATAATTAAGTGTCCTGACCTCAGCATGAAAGTGTAGTTAATTTGCCGTATATGTTATTAGTCTTTTAATAAAGTTGGGAGAGACGTCTGTCTCTCTGTCCACAGTGCATTTCACAACACAATGTGGTCTTCCATTTTATGGAACAAACCTGAGCCACTCTAACACTGATTGATTCACTACAGTTGATTCACCAATCAATCAACAATTCTGGCAAAGCCCCGATAGACTGCGCTTCTGCCAATGCACTCCGGGTATCTTACAATGTAATATAATGGTGTACCATGCAAGGGATGCGATGATAAAGGAAAACAACGGGGATGGAAGAAGAAAACCAGGAAATGCAGGAATCAGCTGTATCAGGTGTGCTGAGCATTGCTGGAGACCATGACGGCAAAGGAGAAACTAACTGAAGGAGAACCCAGCTGAGCTGACAGCTACGTCCTCATGGTACCAGCTCTGCCTCAGTTGCAGGCAGAATAGGCACTAATGGTCTGCAATTCTGTGAGTGGGGGAGGCCAATGGCAGCTGGTTCCAGGTGAGTTCAGAGACTGGGGGGGGGGGGTTGCTGCCTCTGCTCTCCCTCCATTGCAGCCAGGGGGATACAGTTCTTGGAGGGAGATTCTGAGTTATGTGTGCTTGGCGAAGCAAGGGGCGGCATAGAAATGTTCTAACAACAACAACAACAACAACAACAACAACAACAATAACTGTGCTTTCTTTTGGAAGGGAGCTCTCAGGTTTAACCTGGATCAGGACGAGAGTTGCAAATTTGTGCATCAAAATCTTCTCTTATTTACTGTCTTGCAAAGCAGAAACTGGCCAAGGATCAGGTCTAGAGGTATCAGTGATAAATCACTGTGGTATTTTACCATGAATACCTTTAATCAGGGGACCTGTCTTTCTCAAGTAAGCATGCACTGGAATGTATGGATATCAGAGGGTTGGTGGGTCCCAGAAGGAGAGGTAATTGACTGGACAGCAGCAACAGCAGAGTGGGGGGAGGAGGGGGAGGAGGAGGAGGAGTTGGAGCTACTCAGAGCAAAAATTTAGGCCCACCATTGGTGTGGGGGAATGATGATAAAGCACAGCATTCATGCGAGATTTTATCCAAATGCAGCAGAAGTGCAGAGGAGTAGAAAAGTTAGGAAATCACAATTCAAACAACCAAAGAACTTCCACAAGATTGCGGAAAGCGAAAGCAGAGCTGACAAAAAGAGATTGCCCATCAAAGATTTGGAATGCAATTAAAAAGTCACTGTTTTTAAGGAATCAGCTGAAATTTCCCTGCCAGTTTCATTGCCCTGTTCCAGGGCAGTGAAAATGCAGTGGGTCATTTTGGCCATCTTTGTGAGGGGAGGGGAATTGGAGAATATTTCCCGGGGGAAAAGGACAGTTCTGCTGCTCACCTTCCCATCTCCTATTTTTCCTTCTCCTTCTGAAATATTCCAAGCATATGTGCACACATTCTCCTTTCTGTTATGCTTCCTGCCACCATCCTTACTTCCCCGAGAAGGAGATGAAGTGTGAGGACACAAGGGCATGCTTGGATTTCCATGCTTGCCCCCAGTTTAAATGAAGAAGGTACATGCTTATTATATGGGAAGAAAATGGATGCATTGGAAACCTGGAGTCGGAGGAGAGCTTTGCAGATACCCTGGGCTGACAGAAAGATGAACAAGTGGATCCCAGATCAAATCAAGCCAGAGCTTTCCCTACAAGCAAAAATGATAAAACCGGACAAATCACGAGAATGCAAGATTCCCTGAAGAAGACAATTATACCAGGGAAAGTTGCAGCCAGGTGAGGACAAAATATGAGATGGAATAACTCTGTCAAGGAATTCACAGCCTCGAACTTAGTGGAACAGGGCTGTCATTGGTGGGACGTTCTGGAGAGCTTTCTTTCATGCAGTCACCATAAATCACAGCACATAACAACGAAGTGACCGTGCTGTAGCTCTCTGCTTCCAAAATGATTTCTCAGTCCCCACCCAAAGCGATGGACTGATGAATCTGTCCGTGGCAATTCCTCTCGGTCTCCTATTTTTCCAGTCTTAACTTTGGTTCACTTCAAACTTTGCCGATTTCTCCAGTCTTAAATTCAGTTCATCCTGAACCTTGGGGATTTTTAAAAGTTTGCACGAGGATGCAGAGTGCATTATTTCTCCTAATATATGCATTTTGCATGGTTTGGTTGGAGAGTTCCACTGCAACATTCAGGAAAGTATGTATTTTGAAGGTTTGAGTTGCGCAGTGGTTCAAATGTACAAGATTAGTTAAGTTCACATAAGCATATGAACTAAATGCATTTCTTCCTGCATCCTGAGCCAAGGAAGCTCGGCTCAGTTTCACTGGAACAGCATAGCCAAACTGCTTGTGTCAAGGGCCTAATGAAAAAAGCTTGTCAACAAAGGAATCAGGGGACCCATTGTTAATTATAATGCCACATGATTTTGTCTTGCACATAAAACAACTCTGTGCATCAGTTTAGCATAACCTTGTTGTTAAGACCAACAGAGAAATGTGTGTCTCTTCTGAGTTCTACCAGAACCAGTGTGGTTAGAGTGATGTTAGAGTATTGTCTTGGGAGATCTGGGTTCTAGTCTTCACTTGGCTACGCAAGTGCACTGGATGACCCTGGGCCAGTCACTGACTCTCACTGAACCTACCTCACAGGGCTGTTGTGAGGAAAATAGGAAAAAAGAGGAGGAAGATTATACAACCTTGGGTTCCTTCGAGGAAAAAAGTCAGGGTGTAAAAACAATTAAATGCATACCATAAATGGAATCCCCCTCCTTTTATCCCTTTTCATAGATATCGTCATGTGCCATTTGCGCAAAATAAATAACGAATTAAAAATAAAATCTTGCAACAAATCTGGGACATAGCGACTCATGGCAAAATAAGTGCCCTGCGGGAACTGAGCACAATACCTCCTTTTGCTGGGAATAACTCCCATCTCTTCGCTGTCCCCTTCCAGCATCACCCTCCTCGCTTGCCACCACTCGTCGTCGGAGGCGTTGATCACGTGCAGGATGTCACCGTACTTGAAGCTGAGTCCTTGGCTCGGAAGGCCACTGTCTTTGCTTTTGTCATAGTCAAACATGGCTCTGCGAGAAGGAGAGAGAGACAGACGTGGCTGATCACCGTCCTTATTCAGTGACCTGACTTCACTCCAGTTTTTAAGCAGATCCCTTTCTGGAAAGAGCTGCCTAAGCCATCAGATAAAAGCCCATTTCTCTGCCCCGACCTCCACCTCTCTGGGAAGCAACACGTGCTCCCATTCTTTTTCTTTGAGACCTGCTCTTTTAGAGATTCTGCCTCTAAAAAGGAACTCGCGCAATGAAATCCAAGGATCTCTCCCCCAAATATACAGCTGGGGTGTGCAGTGTTTGGGTGCTGGGTGTCGCATTGCCCCCCCCCCCGACCCCAGAAGGCACTGCACCCCCACCCCTGCATCTCCAGATTGGCTGCCTAAATTTGGCAGCATGGCGGCAGGAAAAGAGCAAGCCTTGCTTGTAAGCAGAATTGCACTGCGGAGGCTTCCAGGAGCAGGATTCTGCTTCAGAACAAGGAACGTGGCTCATTCAGCAGAAGAAGCCATGGTGATCTCTTTTTTTAATTGTCCCCCTTATTATTATTATTTTGTGTTTCTGTACAGCCCATAGCTGAAGATCTCTGGGCATAGCTGTGTTTTGGACTGTATCTCCTATCACCCAACTCCCAGGCATGCTGGTTGGGGTTGATGGGAGCTGTAGTCCACAGCATCTGGAGGGCGCCAGGCTCCAGAAGGAATATGGAAAGGCCATGGGGTGGCGCTGGGGGCATGGGGCTTTTTCACCCGGTCGCTCTCCTTCCAAGAGGGGTGCTGATTATTCGCACACCTTCGGGTCCGTGTCTCCCAAGTGCACATGCGAGCATGAGAGAGAGAGAGAGAGAGAGAGAGAGAAAGGGAAAGAGACTATTCTCTCCTTCTTAAAGCCAAAGGCGCAAATGTCTTTTCAGCAGAGTCACGTTCTTGAAACGATCACATAACTTAATCGCCTTCCCATGGCACTCAGTTGAACAGAACTCTTATCCTATTGTTAAGGAGAGACAGAAAACACAGCAGGCTCCCCTTGCTAATGAAATGAACATTCGCAACATGGTCATTAACGCAGCCATCTCTGTTTTATGACTTAGTGCAGCTGCATGGCAAAATAATTTTTAAAGCCATGGGAACATCCATCTTGTATTAAATTAGACAAGGCAAGAAAAACTAATTTGAGGGGTCCTTTCAGAGGAAAATTATGCTCTTCAGTCTTGCTTTAAAAAAAGTCATGGGTGTGCCATTCACTCTGCTGAGATAACCGGGGTTGGGGAGAAATAATTAAAAAGATATCTTCAGGACTTGCTAAATGAGCAAGGCACCTAAGATCTTTCTGCATATCTGGGGGGTGAACATGTGGCTCGGGCACCAAAGTTGACCCCCTTTGGGGTCTCCATCTCCCCTTGTGGGATTCTGCAGGTGGCCACACATTCCCTTTCTCCCAGTCACCAACTGTTGGGTCATTTTCATAAATATGTCCACTTCCTCTCACTATAAAAAGTTGAAAAGCTGCTGCTAAGGCTCAGTTCCCAGAACAAAGAGCTGTGAGCTAAAATATGCTGGGCCTTTTTTTCCTTGCCCCCCCCCCCAACCCTTTTGCCTGTGGCTCTATCCCCACCCCGCCCTCCGGCACGTGGCTCCTGAACATTCTTCTGCCCATCTTCCTTCATAGATTTTACAAAACCTGAATTTAAGACTTGATTGTAAGTGCTCACTCTGCTCCATCAGATCCCCCCCCCCCTTTTCCCTTGTGCTTGTCCTGTTGTATATTGTTAGCTGCTTAGAGAGTCCTGTTGGGCTATTGAGAGGCATATATATAGCTCTGCGCCATGGCAGCTTTGCCTTGGAGTTTCGCAGGGCTCTATTTTGTCCCCCGTGCTATTTAACATCTACATGAAACCGCTGGGAGAAGTCATCAGGAGGTTTGGGCTGCGGAGTCATCAGTATGCTGATGACACCCAGCTCTACCTCTCATTTACATCTGCTCCAGGGGAGGCGGTGGCTGTACTGAACAGGTGCCTGGCCGAGGTAATGGACTGGATGAGGGCCAATAAACTGAGCCTCAGTCCAGATAAGACAGAAGCCCTGTTGGTGGCCAGTGTGGGTCTCCAGGTAGGTGATTTTGACCCAGTTCTGGACAGGGTAGACTCCCTCTAAAGGACAGGGTCCGCAGCTTGGGGGTACTCCTTGACCCAGAGCTGTCACTGGAGTTCCAGGTGGCGGCAGTGGCAAGGAGTGCTCTCCTACAACTTCGACTGATCCATCAGCTGCGTCCTTACCTGGATGAGCACTCCTTAGCAACAGTGATACATGCTCTGGTAACTTTCCACTTGGATTACTGCAACACGCTGTGTGTGGGGCTGCCCTTGAAAATGGTCCGGATACTGCAACTGCTACAGAATAGAGCTGCCAGGCTGCTGATGGGGACTGGCTGTTACTCTCACATAATGCTGGTCCTCTACAGCTCCACTGGCTTCCAGTTGAAGTCCAGGCCCACTTCAAGGTGCTGGTTTTGACCTATAAAGCCCTAAACGGCTTGGGACCAGGATACCTGAAGGAACATCTCCTTCCTTATATGCCCTCACGCCCCTTAAGATCTATGGGAGAAGCCCTGCTCTGGGAACCATCTCTAAGAGAGGTAAAAAGTCATCAACTCGGAGTAGGGCCTTCTCTGCTGCGGTGCCCAGACTCTGGAATGTGCTCCCCAGAGAGGTACGCCTGGTGCCAAGTTTATACTCTTTAAGGCGCCAGGTCAAAACCTTTTTATTGAAACAGTATTTTAAAATTTAACAGCTTTTAAGGTTAGTCACTCTGTTTGTTTTGTGATTTATTGTTTTGTTCTGTTTTATTATTTATTGAATTTGTTGTTTTAATTGTCTTTTTAAATATTGTAAGTCGTCCTGAGATCTTGTATAATAGAATGGCATACAAAAACTTTTAATAAATAAATAAATAAATGCGAAAACAAATAAATAAAAAAATGGAATTTGGCCCTTGGTTGAATATGATTACTTACTCCGGATCAGAATATGCGTGCACCTGCATTTAAAAATTCTTCTAATCCTGTGATTCCAAAATTGAAGGTACCTCCCAGTTTACAAAAGTTCCAAAAATTGGAAACTTGCCCACTAGGAGAGTGAGTACCTGGAGGAGGGCTTTCTCTGCGGTGGTGCCCCACTTATGGAATGCGCTCCCCAGAGAGGTCCGCCTGGCGCCATTATTTGTTTTTTGGTGCCAGGCTAAGACCTTTTTATTTCGACAATATTTTAATAATTGTTAATATTTTTATTGGTTTTAACTTCTGCAGTCAGGGGGAATCTGGATTTTATATGTATTATTTATATGTTGTTTATTTATTATGTTGGAAGCCGTCCCGAGGCTTATGCGAATGGGACGGCATACAAAAATTCCAAACAATTAAATAAATAAATTTTCCCAAGAATCTAGAAAAGGCCAGAGCATGTCCAACCCTTCTCCCTTCCCATGTTTCCACCCATGGCAGCTCAACCACCAGCTAATCTTAGTTTGGGGTATTACGTTATCTCAGCTGAGAAGCAACCTTGATCACCTGTGCCATGGTTTAAAGGGCACAGTTGACTTCTTATGGGGGAAAAACTGAAGCCAAAAGAAACAGTCCTTGTTTCTGGGGCTTGGAAACCAGAAGCCAACGTAAGAATGCCAGGGAGCAATAGGACAGCTGCTCCTGGGGTTTGGCATCTTTGCCATCGGCCAGCACCGGAGTCCATCTGCAGCTCCATCTGGCTGCTCTTCCTGGAGGGAATAGCCGGGAACCCAGACGGTGTTCCCCAGCTGCTAACAGCCAGAAAATGGCAAATCCATGGAAAAATTCCTCCTGTCATACGGCATCTTGACGATCCGTCGTGAGTGCACCTGCAGTTCTTCCTTCCCCCTTTGCTTTGGGGAGAAAAACCTGGAACCTGTCCCAACTCATCAGCTACTGGAAATCAGCAGATGCTTCCCATACCCGCACCAATACTGATTTATTCTTTTATTCCTTTAATTGCCAAGCTTATTGTTCTTTTTACTTTTTTATTTAATTGTCTTTTTATTGTTCTTCTTACATTTTTTCTTGTAAGAGACCCCTTTGGGCTATGGAGTGGCATATAAATTATATTATATGGGCCAGGTTCACACATAATGACCTATTATAATAATTCCCATAATAGTATGGTCTGTCATGTTGTATCAATCTTGTCATGGACTTAAAGTAAGGTACATTTGCTTTCTGTAGAACCGCAGAGAAAACCAACAGTCTGTAGTATGGTTTTCACACACACACACACACGCGCGCGCGCGCGTACTCTAGGGGTTGGGGGGGTGGATTTTGGCCAAAAAGGCAAGGAAGGAAGGAAGGAAGGAAGGAAGGAAGGAAGGAAGGAAGGAAGGAAGGTCATCCATATCTTGACCCCAGTTTATTCGCAGCTCTGTGGCATGGTTGTTATTTCTGCATGGCGGGAATCAGAGGTTGCACCAGTAACATCTGGAATGGCATCAGTCTCCATGTTCAGGATTGATGCTGGCACGGGGAGTAGCCACCTTGTCTACTCCAGTCATACAGTTTTGCTTTCTTGGTCCCAGCTTACTACTATGATTCTGACCATGCAGAAGAGGCAAACCAGGACTGGTCTTACTATTAGGCAAGACAACCGCCTCAGGAAGCAGCTGCTGGGGAGAGGGTCAGAAGTGGGTCTCCCCAGCAATTCCTTCTGAGAGCCCCAATCCATTCCAAGCCTGGAGGGAAAGTTGTGTGTACCACACAGCCTGTCCTGCTCCCTTTAAACCCAGGTACGGTGGTAGACCCTAGTGCTGAAGTAAGATGGGCATTGTAGGTGGAACAGATCAGGCTCTTTGCGGTTATTTCCTTGCAGGTTTTATTTTATGGACCAAGTATCATCTTCGCACTGCTCTTTGCAAGCCATTTGAAAAATCAACAGCCATCTTGACCTGTCATAGGAAAAGGACTGCTTGATTGACCCACAGGCCTTTCTAGTCCAGCATCCA